AAAAAAACAAAACAGCACGTGCTTGTACCACATGAAACCATGTGATTGGAAGGGTCATTGTAATAAAGTAATAATGACAGCTCTGACCAGACTGCATCAGAAAGTTCAAAAAGTAAATTAGCATAGAGTTTTAGCCTTGTAGGTACTTTGATATATGTAAGGGAGGGGGGTTACAAAAAATGTTTTTTGTCAATTAGTCCAAGAGACTGGTACATCACGCAATCCTCAGCCTATATGACCATGAGACCAGAAGAACAGATGGTGCCCAGCTACCACTGTCAACCACCCAAAGGGGGATCTGTGTAGGAGATCCTAGATAGAGTGGGAGAATAATGTGGAACAAAACTCAAAATTATTAAAAAAAAAAGAAGGACTAGGTTTGCTGGTCTTATAGAGCCTAGTGGAACCCGTGAAACCATGGCCTCTAGCTGCCCTTTAGGTCTGGAATTGAATCTACCCCTGTGGCTTCCAGCCAAACAAAAGACAGGCATATGAGCTGAACATTATATTAGGTCGATAAACTCCTTGGAGAGGTCAATCATGGGAGAATAGAAGGGCTGTGTATGCATAGGGAGACAGCTCAGGGGGCAGGACTGCATGGGAGGGAAGGACACAGGGAAGAGGTAACTATGGGGTGCAACTGGGAGGGGAGCTATTGCATTGTGGGAAATTGCAGCTAATGTCATGAGACAAAATGTATGTGAGCTGCTGTATGGAAAGTGAATTTGCTTTGTAAACTTTCACCCAAATCACAATTTTTAAAAATGCTTTTGTTGTTGTAACTAACTTCAGAGATATTACATGAAAAAAAATTTCTGCTGAAACACTGTACAAAAATTTTATAGACAGTCATTCTGGTGTCTTCCTGAGTGTCACCACTCAGTCCACTGGCCCCTAGTGACACCAGTGGCTGCAGCATTCCTCCCGTGGGCGGGGAATGTAGGTGTCGGCAGGGATGAGGAGGAAGCCTCAGGAGGGATGAATGTCAAGGGGTCAGAACTAGAGTCATGAGATCTTTCTACCTGAAAAGCCTTATCTCAGGGCCTGGCTTTCCAGAAACCTCAGCAGGATCTGTATCATTTATTCTGTCAGCTTCTCCCATTTCCCTCCCCTGGTTGATTCCTAACCGTCCATCAAGGCCTCCTCAAGTCTCAGTGAGGCTTCCCTGGCTGTTGTAGCCCTCCCTTCTCTTCCTCCTCCTGAGCTCTCACACCTGCCACAGCCTGTACCACCCAATCTAGCACTGTTGGATAAAATGTCTTATATACTGTTGGGGCAAATGTACCAAATCTCCCAGCTTTAGTGCAAATTCCTTGGATTAAAAAATAACTTTCTATTTTGTTGCATGTGCCCAAGTGCCTTAGGACATAACAACCAGTTTATCTGTTGCCATGGAGTTGACTCATGGCAACTCCATGTGTGTCAGAGCAGAACTGTGCTCCATGGGGTTTTCAAAGGCTGATTTTTCAGAAGTAGATCACCAGACCTTTCTTCCAAGGTGCCTCTGGATGGTTTTGAACCTCCAACCTTTCACTTAGCAGTGGAGCCCATTAACTGTCTGCACCACCCAGGGACTCTTGGGATATAATAGATTCTCAGTAAAACAGCTGCCCCACAAATGATGGTACAAGTCATTTTAGCCAGCTGGGGTATGCTCTCACCAGTGTGTATGGATCCAGCCCCCACCTTACGGTCAGGAGCAGGCTAAGGGACCATTCACACCCATGTCCCTCCAGCCTTGTTCTCAGCCCACAACCACAATGGTACAAACCCCTCATACCTTGCTGGCTTTCAAGATCTCAAACATCAGGGGCAGGCCTTGGGTTATGAGCTCCTCTGTGTATTCTTCCTCCTGGATGGTCTTAAACTCCTTTAGCAAGCACTGGATGAGGGGCCGGCGGTGCTGTTGGAAGGCAACCCGCAAAGACTCCAGCCACGTGTGCAGAGTCCATGGGACACCTGGAAGGGGAGCAGGAGCCAGGGAGATGGGGGAAGGGGAGAGCAGAAAACAACCAAAGGGGAAGGCAAGTTTTCATCTGAAAGTTGGCTCTTGTCCAGGACATTACCAAGCTATGAGACCAAGAGACTGATTTGCCATGAATAGAGTCAGTGTTGTTTCTTCTTCCCCAAGACTTGTACCAGTTGAAATGAAAGGTCGTAATTCAATGGCTTTAACTATGAGTGTCCACTTCTGATTGTGATTCACATCATTAGGGACTGCATTTTACAACGTATAATCATTGGGTAGGATGCTGGAACTACAGTGCATGCTATGTGCCCATTACATCCTTCCGAGTTCTGAGTTCCTTCGTCTCCATCCCTTCTACTTTCTGGGGACACAGAAGCTCAGGACCAGACAGCATATCCAGCCCCAGAGGAGAGCTCAGAGCTGGCGATACCCCTCCGTGGACTTCCCTGTCTACTGCTCTGGCTCTGACGAATGTTTATAGCTGAGCAGGACGATACAGGAGCAGTGCTGCTGGTCCCCCAGCAAAACACTATTTCCACCTGCAGGTACTTCCTCAGGTTTTCCTCCTTAACTGCAACCTCTCTAGCAGCTGATTGCTGCAATTTGCTTCTCTCCTCTCACAGGAGGCCCCAGATGAGAGACAGCACACCTCCTGACTATTTAAACAAGGACACCGTTCAGTGTCGAGTTTCCTAGTCATACAAAATAGGCTCTCAGGGCAGCAATGTCAATGCCCACATATTATGGAGCCACCACCCGAGAGCAGCCAGTTTCCAGAACAGTGTGTCACAGAGGCCTTTCCCTAGAACCTTAGCCTTGCTCCGTCTGCCACACCCTGCTCTGTGGCTGGGGGCCTGTGGCTAGGTACTACTGCTCTCATTCCTGGAGTTAAGGTCACTAGACTGGTGGAGGGCAGGCTAGCCTCATGCCCTAGATGCACAGAGGAGAAAAGAGGCCTGGGTGGGAAAGGAAGTCCTCACTGACTGCTGCCTGGCCGTTGCTCTATGGGGTTGGATGTTTGGAGGCAGCAATCCCCAAACCTCCGGGAACCATCTGGGATGATTGTTAAATATAAAGATTTCCAGCCTGTATCCAGACCCTCCACAGCACAGCCTCTGGGTGTAGGGCCTGGCAATCTGCATTTCACACAAGCTCCCCAGGTGATTTGTATTCATGACCCGGGGTCCAGAGTTTGGGAGTCAGGGAAAGATGATTGGAACATGATCTTTGTGGCTGGCAGGATACTGCTGCCTTTGGAATTGTTTGGGCATCTTAGCCTAGAATGCTCCAACCAGGGAATGGGCCCTGGTAGTATGTGTGTATGTGTGTGCATGTGTTTATTTGTACATACATGTGTTTGCTCATCTGTGCTTATGTGGATATATCCATGTGCTTGTTTATGAGTGTGCATGTATGCCTGTGTATACACATGTAAGTGTATATTATATTTGTGTTTGTATGTGTGTGTGTGTCTGTATTTATAAGTGTGTATGTCTGCCTATGTATGTATATGTATATATGTATGCACGTATGTATGCAAGTATATTTACATGTGCCTGTGTATGTATGTGTGTATATGTATACACATGCACATATGTATGTAAGTATATTTTATGTGTGCCTGTGTATGTACATGTCTGTGAGCATGTGTGCCTGTGTGTGTATATGTACACGTATGTATGCACATGTGTGTAAATGTATCTGTATGGGTGTGTTTTATGCATGCTTATGTATCTGTATGTGTGTGTGTTTTATGTATGCTTATGCATATGTGTGAGGAGCTCTGGTAGCATAGTGCCTAAGGCACTTGACTGCTAACCAGAAGGCTGGTGGTTCAAACCCACCAGCCACTCCTCGGAAGGAAGGTTGGGCAATCCTACTTCCGTAGTGACACTGCCTTGGAAACCCAAGGAGGGGTTGCTATGAGTCGGGGCCGACTCGACGGCAAACAACAACAACATTCATATGTATGTAGGTATGCATGTGCGTTTTTGAGCATCTGAGCCTATTTTATATGTGTGTATATGTATGTAAGCATGTGTGTATATAAGCACAAGTGTGTTTGTAAGTGTATTTCTATGTGTGGGTCTGTTATGTGTGTGTGCATGTGTCTCTGCATGTGCGTACATGTGCACCCCCCATATGTGAAATGTGTGCATGTGTACACACACATGCATCCATGTATGTCTGCATGTGTGTGCGTGTGCATATGTGCACATGTGTGCATGTGTCCTAGAGCTGGGGCAGCTGAGCCTGCCCAGCGGTGGAGGGTGCCCGGACTGACCTATGCTCCTGATATCAATTGTGACATCCACGTATCCATGCTCAGCGCTGTGATACATGGCCTCCCTCAGGGCTCTCAGTTTGGCCTTGCTGTTGCGGCTGGCACACAGGGGGGGCGGGGCTGTCTCAGCCAGGTCAGTCCCCTCGGCCAGAATCTCCTCCAGGGACAGGATATCACTCTTCTCCTTCTCTGGCTGAGCGAGCAGTTTGCGGAACACATTCCTGTCAATCATAAACCCAGAGAAGATACTCAGAGATGGAAGTGGCTCTGCTGGGGTGGGTATGGGAAGGGGGGTGCTGTTGGGACAGGGAATGACAGGACTATTCTGGGGTGGTGGTTTCAGAGGCCTGAGCCCATACAGGGGCTCTGTTTGGAGATGGAGGAGATGGTGGGGGGAGATGGAGGAGACAGTGGAGGGTGATGGCCTTGTTTTCTCATGATTTCCTCAAAGATGACAGAGCAAGGTCCCACAGTCTGACCTGGAACCGTGAGCCTGCACTCCCTGCAGAGTGGATGTGCTTTACTTGGGGTAGTGTGTCATAAATCCAATGGGGTACTTCTTGAAGGAAACTTAGAAGAGAAGTTTAACATTAAGTGCTGTGCTATTTTCTAAATGGGTTCTTCTTACTTGATGACAGCTGATGTGATGTACTCTGGTCAAAGCTGGCCAAGTCTCAGTGTGAGTTTAAAGCTGGCTGAGAAAGGACAAACTGAGCCCATCTACCTGACAGATGTGCATGACGTGAGGTAGGCTCTTAGCAGAAAGCTGGTAGAACACCTAAGGCCATTTCTGCCCAAGCCTGGACCACTCACACTGCCTCTTGGCCCCACATCCAGAGATGAAGTGGGTCTGGGGTAGGCCTGGGAATCTGCATTTTTAACAAGCACCACTTGGGACCTTGTGGCTTTGGCCCATCCTAGCCTACCTGTGTCCGTGGGCTGCAGCCTGGCTGAAAGAGTTCATATCACCCTGGGGGGTTGTAGAAATTCCATTCCTGTACATGGTTCCTATCAGGGGATCAGCGCCACGCTCCAACAGCAAACTAACCAGCTCAAAATTTCCTGTAAGCCCAGAGAAGGGGGTTTTATAAGAGAATAAAGAAAATATATTGTCACAGGCACATCAAGGGCCAAGGGTGGTGGAGACCCTTGGCTGGAGTGAGAAACAGTGACTCTTACCTACAGCAGCTGCAAGCTGGAGGGGTGTTTCAGAGTAGTTCTCCTCACCGTGTTCCAGAGAACCTTCCACCTTGGCCCCGGCATCCAGCAGGAGCTGTGGAGGAAGAGTGGCCATTGAGACATTTAAAAGACATGCACTCAGAGAACTGTCAGTAAACATGGTATCTAAAGTGACACCGGGAGACGCCAACGCCCCATTTTTCCCTCTGGGCGAGTGACCACATGCACAGGGCTGGATGGCAATTGTACCTCAGAGGATAAACTGAGAGCTCTCCTATGTCTAGAACCTTCAACCACTCAAAGTGTGGTTCACAGACAATAGCATCAGCACCCCCCTAGGAGCTTGTTCAATGCTGAGTCTCAGGCTCCACCCCAGACCTGCTGAGTGAGAGTCTGCATTTTAACAAGCGCCTAGGTGATTTGTATGCACATCAGCATTTCTTGAAGCACTGAGTTAGAAGCCCTTGGCACCACAGGGCTGTAAGATTCCCTTCTGAGGTTGGTTATACAAGGCCATCAGGAGGATTAGACTGATCTCTTAGAACCATAGAATCTCAAGAGTTCCAAGGACTTTGGGAACCACCTGGCCAACGAACCATGGCAAGAATCCCTTCCAGAACACCCTCAATAGTTCTGAAGACAGTCTGGGGAGAGCTAAACTGTCCTAGCCAGCAAAGCCATCTAGCAACAAAGCAGCAGAAGGAGCTTCCTCAAGTTTGCCTTGGAATTAATCCATTCTGTGCATTCCTTAAGATGTCTGGGCTTCTCAAAGGCAGAGATTCTGTGTAGGCCAGGTATTGCTCAGTGAGTCAGCACCACTGATGTAAAATGAGAAAGAAAGCTGCCATCTTGACTACCTAGGCAGGGCTACTGTCTTTGATAAATGGAGGCCTAGCCTGGAGGGGCCTGCCGACTTGGCATTCCATGACTCTTGCTGTACCTACAGCAGGGAGGTGACTTGACATCTGTTAGACTTTGCTTGGCTCCCCAGTGATCCCATTCCTGATGCAAATGCTGGGGATGTCACTGCATGTTCAGAAATGCCATCCGTGTCCACCAGGCCACCATCCAACCTCTGCTTAGATTGCTCTATTAGGCATGGACCGGGCATGAAGTTCTACCGTCAGACATTACTTTGGGTCTGTCTTAAGGATTCCCATGACCCAGGAAACAACAAAAGATTCCTGTGAAACCCTAACATTGCAGAGATGTCCTTGTAACACTATTCCCTGCTCTGCCTAATTCGAAGAGGCTTGGATCAGATAAAAGGAGGTATGTTCCTGATATAGGCCAGGTTCAACACTCACTATGGGGCCAGTTGAGGTCATGGACCTGGATGTCGATGTTGCTTTTCTGATAAATTGAAGACTAAGCTTATGACCTGGAATGTGCTGGATGGTTACTCATTGATCACCACTTCTACACCAGCCAGAAAAGGTGCAAGTATTATATATTTATATGCCCAAAGGACCTCTCATAAAGATATTTCACCATATTTCAGAAGACACATGCTAAGGCCCTACTCTAGACCTCCTAGATCAGAATCTCAAGAAGTGAGATCCAAACAAGTACACGGAAATGTTCTCTTGGTGACTTAGATGTATCTTGTCACGGGTTGGGAAGCACTGGTCTCAATGTGGACAATGGAGTCAAACCTAAGGGGAGCTTCCAACGTCTTGAAACCAGTCAAGTCTTATGTTCCTGTTACAAGTGAAATGAAGAAATCCACAAAATAACATCTCAGGCCCAACTCCAGAGTAACCAGGAAGAATTTCTTAGGTTTGTCACTCTGTGTATGAGGATGCCTGTGGGTACATGATGACTTCATATTGGTTAAAGCCAGTCCATATAGATCATTACATATAATATTTTCATTCATATGATATGAATGTGCTATATTTCAATGCAGTTAACCAGTATGAGTCTTTTAGGGAATTTGCATGCTGGGAGAGGTACAGATTTGCATAATGCAAGAGGTAAAATTAAAGGGCAGATGTGGAGAGGAAATATGTTAATACCTGAACTACAGGAATATGTCCATGCAACACAGCAAAAGTCAGAGCCGTCCAATGGCGGGTCTCGGGGTGGACGGATGGATACTTATGAGGAGCACTGACAACCTACAAACAAATTGAAGTTATTTTCAAAATGTGACCTTGACAGACTTAGACTGGCAAATCTGACCTATGTGTGGTTGAGCATGTTGGCTAGAAGTGTAGAGAAGGACATCTTGGAAAGTGCTTGGGGACCCGTTGGTGATGCGGGGTAGGGATTTTCCTCTGTGGAATGCCCCAAACACCTCTCACCAGAACCGGCCATCTGTACTGCTTGTGTTAGTAAGAGCAGACATTGAAGCAACTCTCCAACAGCAACCTCTGAAAGGCTGTGTTTGGAGAATTTGCCCACGGGGCTGGTGAGAAAAGTTTTTACTGACTTCATGCCTAATCAGCATCCTTTTGCTTCTCTCCTGAAAATAATTAAATAGATGACTTGTGATGCTTCTAAGTTGCCTTGGGGAAGCTGTGATGGTGGCTACAATGAGCCACTCCTCTGTCTGTATCCTCTTCCAGCTTTAAGGGGTGTTGGTGGTTCTGAGAGGTACGGGGTATAAGACAGCATACAATGCTACCATCACCATATCCTATACTTTTAAAGAAAATTCTCATCAGTGGCAAACTCCAGGCCAAGTGGTATCTGTTTCAGGCATTCAAGCCAGGAAGACCATCACCTATCTGATGGATGATGACCACTCCTGGTCTCAGCTCGCTACATGCTGTCCTCGTGTCATTCTACTCTGGCATCCTAGATGACAAGGAGCCTCATGCTACTGGAACCATGGGCACCAAACTTTCCCTGGGCACATCATGAATGAGCAATCTGCTACTGTCTTTTGGTATAGGGGTCTCAAAATACCCCAGACCACAAGGGAGGAGCCAGAGCAAGGGAAGGCTGGGGTCCTGCAGGATCAGCACCCATCCATGGCTTTCCTCCCAAACATTCCTGGGGCCATGGAACCACCATGTCTGCCTCATTCCGAGATGGAGCTCTGCTGAGGGAAGGTCCTGAGCTGGGAGCCATGGGATACACTAGAGAGGTGGACCAGAGAACCCACCACCAGAACCCAAGGCTGAGGACCCCTTGCAGGGGCCTGCATGGCTCTTTTCTTAGGGTTTCATAGCACAGGGAAAAAAATCCCCCAACACTTGAAACATGCAAGATCCAAGATGGTTCTGGGTCCAAAACTAAGTCTCCTGCCTGCTTTCTTCAGAGGAACATAAACCTCACTAATTAACAACAACAACAAAGCACTCCAGTACTAAGACTGCAGGGCATCTAATTAGACGCTAAAAGGTTTCCCAGGGCAGCTGAATTATGACTGCAGGATGTCAGTCCTCCCATCCTCTGAGGCTGCCAACATCTAAATACCACGGAGAGCGGGTCACAAGACAGCACAGGACATGGTCAACAAATGGGATTTCACCTCCTATAAGCCTAGGTGAGGGGGAAACGGATATTAACAGAGTCCCAAACACATGCTAGGTCCTCTCTGCATCTATTCCTTCCAACAACTCCCTGAGATGGGTGTGGTTTTGTCCTCATGTTGCAGATGGAGACAATGAGGCTCAGAAAGTTTAAGCCGCTTGCCCAAGTGCAAACCAGGTCACTGTGATAGCAGCGGTTTCAGAATTTGACCCCAAGTCTGTCAAATTCTAAAGCCTGTGAGCATGCGCTTTTCACTTCACCACACTGACTCCAGGAAGCTTTGAGATTAGCTTGAAGACCTGTGGCTTCAGCTCAGCCCCCAGGTGAGCCAGTCAGGCTTGGTGGGGGACGGTGGAGGACGTGGGGACGGTAAACTTCAGCTTGGGGGGCAGTGCTTCCTCAGCTTTGGCTGCAGCAGAGAACAAAGGCTGATAGACAGGAGCTTTTTCTGCTCTGATTCCAGAAGGAATGAATCAGCAGAAGAACCAGGGGTTCTGTGCTGTTGAGCCAAGGAAAAGGCCAGTCTCCAGATAGTAACAGTCATTATATTTAAACAGAACACACATGCAGGTGGCTCCCAGAGGACGGTAGGGTTGGGGCCTGGAGAAGGATGAAGTCTGTCAGCTGGACTCACACTAGACACAGAAACGCAAGGGACAGAAGAAATGACCTGTATGTGGGACTGAGCTCCCTCAGCCCTGGCTCTTGGGGAAAGAAGCCCCCCTCTCCTCGCTTGCCTTCCCCTGGGGACTGCCAGGGCGAGGGCCCTGCAGCCCTCTGCACCCTCACCTCCACATTCAGGTCGGCTCCGGCATCCAGCAGCATCTGAACCATTGCCTCATCCCCACGGACACAGGCGTACATCAGAGGGGTCATGCCCTGTGGTGAGTTAAAAACCAGAGAATGGAGAACATTTACAAGGTGCCTGTGGTCACTCGGCAATAACTAACGGCAAATATTAACTTGTATTGAGAGGCTATGCTTGTGTGCAAAACCCAGAGTTAAAAAAACCAAGTGCAGCCCCAGAAGGCCACAACTGTCCACGCTGTGCAAACCAGAATGGAGGAGAGGAGGGAGCTCAAGTCACCTTGTCTTCATTTCCCTTTAAGTTAGTGGGTTCCCGTTTGTCCTTTTAGGAGGTATAATCGGCCTAAGAGTGTTTGCTAAAACAAATGGCTGATTTCAACTTGTAGATCTTAGGAATTTTCTGGATTCTGCAGTATCAGTCTGAGGCTGTCTAGTTGGTGAATAAGGTTTTTTGTCATAATGTAACTTTCCTCCATCATCACATAACAAGTGTCACTTTGGCTCAAGTATCAGCTGCTGCTCCGTGTCACGGGGAATCAGATACCTCCCCCATCACTGACATCTGGTTTGCCATTATCATTTATGAGCTAAAGGCACATGAACAACAAGTGGCCTTCGGGGATGCCATATTCGCCCATGACCCCTGCTGCTCATTTCAAAAGAAACAACACAACCCACAGAAGGGATGGACTTGTGTCAATAGTGTTGTGAAGGCTGTTACTTGGGAAAACAGTCAAGTTAGACATGTATCTCACACCAAACACTGAAATAAAGTCTAGTTTGATTACGTAGAACAAAAAAATTAAAACCATAAGAAATGAGTAGAAAATATCTAACCTGCCATTGAATTAATTTCTAGGCAGAAAAGTAATGGAAGCAACAACAAAGGGATATTGTCATAACTTTGGTGACATAAAACTAAAAACATTATACACAAAATGTAAAGGTAAGCAATAAATTGAGAAATATTTGTCATATTTTAAGAGAAAGGCTTTTATGCCTAATATATAAAGAGTTATTCTAAATAAAGAAGCTCCAATGAAAAGAGGTGGAAGTTAAGCAGATTAACAGGGAAGGCATATAGAGTTGGAGGGTGTGTGGAAAGCAACAGTGTCTTTGGGAAGGTCATCGAGACTGAGAACTTTAAAGGCCGATGCGCTTGAACCCACACTTTGACTTTTAAGCCATCAAATAATGAGATTTGAACAAGGACTCAGGTAAGTCTAGTTCGCCCAGCATAACTGATAGAGTAGGTATTTAGAGTAATATTCAACAGTTGAGGCATGGTTACCTGAATAAATAATATGACTATATTACGTGGCCATCAAAAGTGAAGTTTTTTTAAAGAGAGTATTTTATGAAATTGGAAAGTAACTTTAATACAAAAATATTGACAAAGTAAGAAATAAGACGACCCTGGTTTTGTTTTATAATGTAAATGTGTGTGGGTGTATTTAGACCTCCTTGGTGTTGCTTAAGAAATGTTTCTCTATAATTAAATAAATCCTTGTCATGCCCTCCCTGGGTCTCGATCCTGAGTGGCCCGCATGAGAGGCGGCCCATCTATCCCTCGTGACTTCACATTTGGACTCATATTTAAAACTGCTCTTGGCTTTCTGTCCATGACATCATCACCCACATGGGCGACTCCCTGATTGTTTGAAACTGTACTTGAGTTTCAGGGGTTTGGGGGATTTATGGCTTCCTATGTCAGAGGTAGGAGCTCTGGTAGCATAGTGCCTAAGGCACTTGACTGCTAACCAGAAGGCTGGTGGTTCAAACCCACCAGCCACTCCTCAGAAGGAAGATGGGGCAACCTACTTCCATAGTGATACTGCCTCAGAAACCCAAGGAGGGGTCGCTATGAGTCGGGGCCGACTCGATGGCACATAACACAACAACATGTCTGAGGTAACTCCGAGGGTCCCCCCGGAGTGACTTTAGTGTACCTGAAATACATGCTGAACATTTGGTGAAAATCTGCTTGGACCTGCTGTGTGATGCAGTAATGACCAGAGAGGCAGAGGACTGATTTTCACCTTCCAAGAGAAAGACTTGAAGGACACATACTAATATAAAAATAAGTATAAATACAAACATAAATGATGGTTGTTTGGATGTGGCATGATTTCCTTTCTGGAGCAGGCATAGTTTTTCTATTTTTCCACTTCAGCTGCAATGATCATGTGCTACTTCTACAAAGATGAACAAGGGTATTTTTATATTTAAAAAAATTAAAAATAAAATAAAGCAAGCCACCTCCCCAAACCAGCCTAAGTCACCAGCAGGGGGAGCCTTCCTCCAGAGCCTGCGGGAGGGCTCTCCAGCTGTTTCCCCGGCCAAGGGGCAGTGGGGGTGGGGGTGCTGGTAGGTTTAGACTCTAGGAAGCTGTACCTGTTCGCTCATGGTGTTGATGCCATCGGGGCCCAACAGGGAGACTGCCTGCTTCACCAGGTCCGTCCGCCCACAGTTCAGCATCCGGAAACCCAGGTCCTGCTTAAACTTGGCTTCGATGGCCACCGCGTCCAGCTTCCGAGAAGCACAAAAGCAGTCGTCGGCCCTAAGGACAGGAGAGACAGTCATGTGGGTGCAGCAGCTTCGGGGACTGGTCTCTGAGGGTCATAGGAGCTAATTCGTTAGGCAGTCCCAAGAGGCTTTGCATTTGCTTTTCATAGGATTGGGTTTACTTTAAAAAAAGTTTGCAATCTCCCCTAGAATGTCAGCTTCCTGGGGGCAGGACTAGATCTCGCTTTCCCTACTGTATTCTCTACTTCCGTGATGTGTACGATACTGACTGATAATGAGAGATGCACAGTCTACTATTCCTTTTTTTTTTTTT